GCATCTCGTGGTGCCAGAGCGCAGTCTGTTCAGCGCCTTCCAAGTCGCCCAGTTTTCTGTGTGCCCAGGGGGGAGTCTCTCATTTGGTATCAGCCATTGATTGAGGTTCTGGGTTTGAGCCTGCCACTTTTGGACTCTCACTTGCTTGAGGTGTTCCAGCGAGTGTCTCTGTAGATCTTAGAAAAACTATTTCTTGATTTAAGTCATTGCTGTGCTGGCTGATATCCAAACAGGGGATGAGCTGGAGATGTCACTGCCTTGGTCCTTTCACTATTGGTTGCTACTTCCCGGCGGATGTCAGGTGGTGCAATACCGGCTAAACAGTGTAATTTCTCCAGTGGTGTAGGGCGCAGACACTCCGTGATGATGCGGCATGTTTCATTAAGAGCCTGGCAAAATGTGTTCCACACTGGGCATGCATACTCAGCAGCAGAGTAGCATAGCGTAAGGGCAAATGTCTTCACTGTGTCTGGTGAATTTATCGTACAGTATCCGTACATTTATTCATGGCTGTACATGGTTCTAATATCAAGATTTTTAGTTAATTCCTTTGAAACTAAAGAAAGATTATGAATCCTATCTTATTTACGATCTTGTATTAGTATTTAGGAAGTGAAAAGCCAATATACTTCTCCAGTTGTGTGCTTATGAGACCCAGGGTGTCAGAAATCTCTCTATATTTTTTACTTTGTTATGTGCCATCTTCTTTCAATGCAAAGTTCAAGAGGCAATAGATACACAAGGAAATAGTTGTTTTTACCTCTGACCCAATGTAGCAACATACTGCAATCATCTGCCAAGGACCTCTTGGAATAGCTGGCGTATACAGTACAGTTCCTAGAAATATTGTGTAGTAGCTCCCTCCCCTTCCCTGGGTATTCCTCTTCAGTTAGAGAACTATAACCCACTGCTTTGTTTTAAAGATAAACTAACAAGAGAGGATTATATGTACTCACAATAAAGAACGAATCCTGTTCTGACTGATATTCAAAATCAACTACCTCTCAGCACCAAGCTGATAAACAGCAGTTATGATGCTTTTTGAGGTATGACAACACATGTGACTTTCTCTATAAGCTGGTTTACAGAGCGAGCATGAAACGTAATTATCAGTGAAATTTTAAAGTTAGCATTTGTGCTCTTAATTTTTGGGTAAGGACCTGTCACCTTCCTGAGTGTCATGTTACTGTTGTCTCTTGTAATTTATCTCTCACTACAAACCCACTTTATTCTTTTTTCTGCTGCTTTCCGAATAGAGAGTGAATGAATATTGTGTTTTCCATATTCCTCTGCCAAAGATGAAACATAGCATCAGTCAGACCACTTAGAACATTACTTGTAATATTTTAATACATCTTAGTATTTCAGATTGTGCCTCGTGATATGCTTAAATTTGATTATGGAGATTTATTTATTTATCATGTCAGAAGCAAGTTGAGGATACACTTATAATAAACACAAACAAAGATGATGGAGATGTACTGTCTTCGTTATTGGATTGTAGCCTAAGACTAACAGTTGACTATTGAGGTTTATCCCAGTGGAACACAAGCTCTGGCAAGTTTCTTATAGTATGGCCCCAGAGGGAAACTTGAGTAACTGCTATCCAAGGCTCAGCCTACCTAAATACACATGGGCACACTATTATAGGCTGTCATATGATGACCTGGTCACTATGTCCATAGTATAGAAAAGCTATGATGTGCGTGAGTGAACAGGAAACATGCATCAATGACATCCAGAGATGTCACAAGATAATTCCAAGTGTAGGAGTCAGAGCTGAAGTCAAATTGGAATTTAAATTATTCTCTTTGATATATCTACTGATTTATTTACAATCTCTTCACTAAATGTTACCTGCAGTTACACCTCTCATAACCTACTATAAAATATGAGGCTATGTGGATTTGTGCTGATAGTATTTACAGTATGTTTAAGTTGCTGTCTACACTGTCATCTGTCATATCCTACTTCAGGTTGATTTTTGCTCAGTAGCACTGCATGATTCCAAAATGATTCTAGCTTAGTGGTTCTCAACCTGTGGGTCCCCAGATGTTTTGGCCTTCAACTCCCAGAAATCTTAACAGCTGGTAAACTGGCTGGGATTTCTGGGAGTTGTAGGGCGAAATACCTGGGGACCCAAAGGTTGAGAACCACTGTTCTAGCTGGTGATTGCTGCCCCAGCTGCAGCCAGCTGGGACAATACCAGAAACCATGATGGTGTAATATTTGTTCCATTTCACTCAAAATCCTTTCTTATCTACTTATTTGTACACTTTGTGGTGAGCCTCTGGTGATGTAAGCTTTCAATTATGAAATTTGGGTTCATGTTTTTATAAATCTTTTCATTCTTCTGCCTCCTTCTGAGTGGGAGTTGGCTATTGTCTTTTTCTCTTTCATATAACCCAGAACGTAAAATTAATCAAGATGTAAAATAAGCAAGTTTCTAGTGTGCTGTATTCTGAAAGTTTGTGTAGTGAGGCTATATTTATGCAGGTTAGCCTGCAAAATAGTTTGAGTTTAAAATCTGCTTCTTTGCAGTGCAGCATTATATGGCTCTGCCAGGTTTAACTTTGAATTCTTCTGCTTTTATTGCTCTGCAAACATGAGGACAGCTGCAGCCCAATCTTCAAGCTCTGCCTCTGGAAATTGCTATCTCCATTCACAATAATATTTGGCTAGCAAAGTATGTTGGATTCTGTCACTTCCTTTCTACGATAAGCCAGTCATTGGACCACTGTGTGGCAATCTGGAGACAGGAGTGCTTATTGTTTAAAATTGCAAAATGAAGTATAACAGTAAAACTGGATTAACCTCGTTTTATAAACAGTGTTCTTCATGGAGCAAGACCATATTTGTATAGAAGCTCCATGCTGTCCTTGGCATCAGCTTGAAAAAAGAGATGTAGTCCAAAACCAAGCCTGGAGTTTTTCTATAGGACTTACGCTAAAGTTTCACTTTAAAAGAAAGAAGAGGCCTCTGGGAGCAGGAAATGGATGGGGTCTAGATATTGCTCACAGCCTGTACATTCTTCATCCTGTTTTTGTAAGGGCTGGCCACAAAACCTTCGTAACTTCTAATTCTCGAGTTCCTTTTTCTAGTAGGACCAACCAGGATGGGCAAACAACTAACAAATAAGTAATTGGCCTCACTGCTTTAAGCAACTTGCCCAGATGAAGGAACTGAAGCCCTTCCAGCAAAACTGGACTAGTGCTTGTCTCTCGTACTGTCTTGGAATATAAAATCCCAATGTAGAATCCCAAGTGGATGGAAATACACAAACTCCTCGCAAATGTTGTTTCAAATAATAGAAAAAGCCATGATCGTAAAAATATAAGTGTTATAGAATTTTAACTTTTGCTGAACGACTAATCTCTGAGATGCATTTAATGGTGATATGAGAAACATTGACAGATGATTGAACTGTATTGTTTCATTTCTGAGTCTTGTACACTGAAGCAGCTTGTTATTTCAAAATATTTGTTTTTGTGGGCAGGAAGTAGAAATGTATGACACATGAGCAATAGACTTCACTATTTCATTTCCAGCACGATCCAGGCTTTTCTTAGCAATGCCTATGTGTGTTGCTAATATTTTTGCCTATTATTACTTAATATATGGCTTTCTGAGTTTACATGGTAAAATATGGGAGATTTTGTATAATTGATGTATTTAGTGGGATATGAGAGTGCTTCTATTTTAAATATTTATATTCCCTACCTGAAGAAATCATCAAGGTGACTTAATTTTATCATGTTATATTTAATTCAATTGTCAAAATGCTTCATCAAGTTTGTTGAAAGGAACAGAGTTTATTTAGTAGTAGGATGACTAAGACGTTGGAACTTAGAAGGCTCTTCTCCAGATGTTCACAAACAATTCCTTTCCATTCAAAAAAAATAGATTCTAGATGCTATATGCTGCATCCATTTTTTTGATGGGTTCTTGTATTTTATTTAGATTTTAGATATAGTTTAATAGGAAAGAGTGTTTCTTTTGTCAGCCCACTACAAAAGTGGAGCCTTAACTTTCATTTTCCAAGGTAGCCCCAGAACTATAGTCCTGTGTCATGGGTATACACACTGTAGGTTTTCCCTTGTTTGCTTAGCAGAACCTCAAGTCCCTACATTTCCATTGTTCTAAAATTGGAATTAGTTTTTTTTCTAACCAACATGCTTAAAATAAGAGAAGGAGAGTGCATATGTGCTTGCAGTTTCATAATTTTTGAGTTGCAAAACCATTAGTGATTTTCTTGGTCTTTCTTCTGACATGGCCTATTAAACGTCTGCTATCATAAAACTTCGTTCTTGTTCAAGATATTGTTTACATTCACTATACATTTTTTAAAAAAAATAAGACTGAAGTCCTCCTTCTTATCTATTGGTATGATTACCCAGGAAATAGTTATGCTTCTCCTGCTACCCTCACTTCACCTTTCCTTGCCCCTCCCATCCCACTTGCTTTCTGTATATATTAAATGTCTGAGTAGTTAAATACAAAGAAAACCAGGATGAACAACACAAAACCCCTTCTGTAGTCTATCTGTAGTTCATCAGGGGTTTTATCAAATGAAAGAAATACATATAATATTAAAGAAAAGGCATGTGTATATTCTTCCGTCTCCCACATACATTATTTTCAAAAATGATTTCAGTATATATATATATATATTTAAAAGTTATGCAGTTTTATCAGATCTATAGACACTTAATTGAAAAAGATACAATTTTGCATTTCCAACATCTACATTATCCTGAACATTACTGGTTTTATGGTATGCAGCCACTTCTTTTGAGTTCTATTCATTTTTCATAATAATAGTGGTTTACATTTATATATTTCTGTACCACACAGTGGGCTAGTGGTGGCCATCAAATAAAATAAAATTATTTTCTATCATTGCCTTCTACGGAAAAGCCAGGGACCCTAATATCCAGTTCATATCATAGTAAGTATTTTATATGTTTTTATGATACATTCTTTTATTCTCATTACTTTAGGTCAGGATGGTTATCCAGTTGGCTGCCTGCATGGTGTCCTACATCACTGGTACATCTTAAAGATGCTGAAGAGAAAATATTGAAATGTAAGCACTTTGTGGTAAGATATCACCAGTTAACATGATTCACTTATCTATTTTCCCAACCTAGAGGTAGTGGGGGAGAAAGAGAAAAGAACTACCATATACACTTACATGTACGTCAACCTCAGGTATAAGTTAAGGGCAAGGTTGAGGGCCAAAATTATGGATTTTGATATGACCTATGGATAAGTCCAGTCATTCCGCAGAGAGGCAAAAGTACTGCTTGTCACCCCCATTTTCCCACCCAAGTATTCAAAAAGGCCAGAAACGTTGAGGTGATCAGTGCTTCTTTTCAGTTCCTCCAGGATGCACTTATCTCTTGTTTTTCAAACCTCAGAGAAGGGGTGTATATACAGCAGAGGTCCCAAAACTAAGACCGTGGGTTGGATGCGGCCCTCCAAGGTTAGTCACCTGGCCCCCACCCTAAACCTTAGACTTAGGATCGCCCTCAATCTGAAATGACTTGAAGGCACACAACAACAACAATCCTAATTAACTTGACTATTTCATCAGCCAAAAGCAGACCTGGCTGTCCCATTGAAATACTGATAAGTTTATGTTGTGCCTTCCAAGTCATTTCTGATTTAGGACAATTATCACTGGGATGTTCTGAGGGGATTTCCCCTTTGCCTTCTTCTGAGGCTGAGAGAATGTGACTTGTGCAGTATGTTTCCATGGTTAAGCAGGGATTTCAATCCTAGTTTCCCACTGTCCTTCTCCAAATCTCAAACCACTATGTTGGCTCTCAATCTGTAACATACTGTGTTTATATAAAAGTACTTGTCTTGGTTGTTAGTTTCTTCTATTGTTGAGACGGAAAGGTGGACAGAGCTGACAGCAGGCTGATCAGTTTTCCCTCCTTGGTAAAAAAGTAAAAACGATAAAAGTTACCAAGGCATAAACCTAGGTGTATATCCAAATTAGTAGTACTTGTGAGATACACTTTTGACAAGTACTTGATTATTATTTCTATTAGTTTTTGTATTTTAATCTTTGTATTATACATTTCATGGTGTGTTTTATCTGGATATTTTTTACTGTGTTGTACCTCGCCTCAAGCCATGAGGAGAGGAGGGTAATAAATACAATTTGCTGTAGATGTTCTTGCTATTGTATAGAAGTAGAAAAATATTTATTTACCAGTACAGCTTTTGATCTATTGCTATTTAACATATACTGCTTCTGTTAACATTAATAATTTCATGAAGGAAGTCCATGGTTTTATGTGGTTGGTTTCGCAAATAATATCCTAAAGGCACCAGATCCCATCTGATTTTTAAAACTTAAATTGGTTCTGCTCTGGTTAGTACTTGGATGGTAGTCTTCCAATGAATACCAGGTGCTGTAGGCTATATCAGAGAGAGGAACTAGCAAAACTACCTCTGGATATTTCTTGCCTAAGTAGTCTTTCATGGGGTCACCATAAGTTGGCAGGCAACTTGAAGGCACAAAACATACATGCACTTTCAAAGCTTCATGCAGAACCTTTTCATTTTAAATAACTAATTTAGTAGTTACTTTTCTACTTAATTTAGGGGTGAAACAGTACTTAGCATTCTTGAAATAGAATTCAGTCCATATAAGAAAGAATAGTGTGAGTGCACAAGCCTTGCATTGTATCTGTTGTGTCCTTTGAAGCAGATGCTACTCCCTTTTGGGCAATCAGGTGCCATAGCAAGAGTGGGGGTACTTATCCAGTAGATTTGTATTCATGAGGCCTTTCTCTGTATTTTCGTAACCCCGTTTCATTACAGTTGTTTGAATAATAAGGTTTGTGTGTTTCTTTCTTCAGGTATCACAAGTACATACAGTAAACAGTATGTCTTCATATCCAATGGAAATAAAATATGGACGCTAATGTTCTCTCAGAACCTTTCACAGAAAACTCCACTTGTTCTTCTCCATGGGTTTGGAGGTGGTGTTGGACTCTGGGCTCTGAACTTTGAAGACCTTTGTGAAAATAGGACTGTGTATGCATTTGATCTCTTGGGATTTGGACGCAGTAGTAGGCCACAGTTTGATACTGATGCTGAAGTAGCAGAAAATCAATTTGTAGAATCTATTGAAGAATGGCGACGGAAAATGGGATTGGACAGAATGATTTTACTTGGACATAACCTGGGTGGATTCCTGGCAGCAGCTTACTCACTGAAATACCCATCAAGGTATCTGAAACTAATAAGTAAACTGAAGAGCTGTTTTTTGTAGTTTGTATAAGTTTCATTAGAGACATTTCCAATTGTGTTGTGTGGTATGTTCTTTTCCAGTGCTCTTTAAATGTAACAAAGTACATTATGTTTGCAAATTTGCCACCACATCTTTAATTCTTTGTTCTCTCACGGTATACTTATCTGCCCATATGTCCAGTCTGCTTCCACCACTGCTCTTATACATGAACATATCAGGGCAGAGTTGTTTAAGTATTTCTGGGAAGGGAGTATGTTGCAAATGTTCAGTAAGATAACATACGGGACTTTCCAAGTAATCATACTTTTTTATTTTGTATATTCAGATAGTGAGTTGAGTTAAAGTTTAAAGAACAGAGCGGAATTTTTGTTGTAATTGTAAAACTATGCAGCTAGCTAATTACTATAACAAACTGCAAAACTAAATCAGAAAAACACCAACAAAACACATGCCTAGATAGACACTCACAAGCTACATTGACAAATGAAGAGACAGACACAGAAACAAACCTATAAACTTCACGCTCACTCTCTGATGGTTTTTATCTCTTATTATCCTACTTCCTTTAGATCAGTGGTTCTCAACCTGTGGGTCCCCAGATGTTTTGGCCTTCAACTCCCAGAAATCCTAACAGCTGGTAAACTGGCTGGGATTTCTGGGAGTTCTAGGCCAAAACACCTGGGGACCCACAGGTTGAGAACCACTGCTTTAGATAATATAACACATTTCTATTTTTGGTAACACTCTTCTAATTCATAAATCCTACAGTTGACGTTTGCCCCCAATGTTGTTGTTAAAAAGTGATCAACAAGCCCCAGTCTTTCTTGAAGTTGATCAAAGATTTCTCCTTAATCAATAGTCAGTTTATCCACCACAGCCAATTTGTAGATCTTTGTCAACCATTATTCTTGCTACAGTTTTTTTTCAGATATTGTAGTAATATTTCAAATTTCTTTCTAGATGATCATCCAACATTCCCAACAAATAAACGCCTGGTTTCATCATGAATTTAACCTTAAACTGTATTTTAATCCAGTATTTTTGGGTCTTTCTGTAAGACCACCACATATGATAAAATGTCCCAACCTTATGCTCACTATCCAACATTTGCTAGAGCTGCCTTTATACATTTTTCAGAGCTTCTCCAGTATCAAATATCACCTGTACATCATCATCAGAATTTTATTTCAGATCATTACTTGAAGTAAACTTTAAAACTCTTTGTCCACACGTTCTCTCATTGTTCAAATTGGATTTGTGTACCTATATTTAAGTCCATTTAACCATACAATTTTTCACTTCTTGTGAAATGAGCAGAACTTGTTTATCATTATTAATATTAGTCCAGATGAATTTAATGAGGCATACTTAAGATAGACCAATATTGGGTTTTGTTCTTTCTCTTTAAAGATGGCAGTTTTATCATTGTTCTTATGTGCGCAGAGCAACTGGATGGAATGCATTCAGACACTCCATTAAAGTGACCAAACTATGTTTTGGCATGTCAGAAATAAACATCAGTGAGTCCCAGGTCCTTGCACTCTCCCTTTACTTCTTATATGGCATTGGTTCCCAACCTTTTTTTTTTAACCAGGGACCACTTGACCAGGGACCACTTTCCAACATTAGTACCATTAGTACCAAAAGAGTTACAAATCGGTTTTTGGTTAACTTTAGATTCGGTTGCTTAATTGGGGTGCTGATTCAGAAAATTGCATTGGATAGACCACATCAGCTCTGGTTTCTGATACAGAACACATGCCATCCAGTAGTTGCTCATTTGGCTTTTAAGCTGTTTTATTTCAGCTAAATTATGGTTCATATTAATCACAGTGAAAATGGAGCAAAAGTGGATGTGTACCAAAGGATGAGAGAAGGGGCACATAGAAACCTTCTGTCTACTGTGGTTAATTCACATAATACAAACTACTGTACCTGCTAGTGGCAGGAAGAATTTTGGTGAAAATATTTCCTATAAACTGCCTTTTTTCAAACTGGGAAAAATACAATCTTTGGTTCTTATTCCTAAAAAGCAGGGGGGGGGGGCTTTGAAACCAGCTCTCTACAAGCATATATACTGTATATTATCAGGTTGGTATCTGGACATCTTCATTAAAAACATAGGAAGCTCTGTTTTATCCATGAATTTGGTTCAACTATTCTAGATATTGGCAGTATTTTCTCTAGGGTTTAATCAGGGGTCTTTCCCAGTTCTTCCTAGAGCAGTGTTTCTCAACCTGGGGGTCAGGACCCCTGAGGGGGTCACAAGGGGGTGTCAGAGGGGTCACCAAAGACCATCAGAAAACACAGTATTTTCTGTTGGTCATGGGGGTTCTGTGTGGGAAGTTTGGCCCAATTCTATCATTGGTGGGGTTCAGAATGCTCCTTGATTGTAGGTGAACTATAAATCCCAGTATCTACAACTCCCAAATGTCAAAGTCTATTTTCCCCAAACCCCACCAGTGTTCACATTTGGGCATATTGAGTATCCGTGCCAAGTTTGGTCCAGATCCATCATTGTTTGAGCCCACAGTGCTCTCTGGATGTAGGCAAACTACAACTCCCAAACTCAAGGTCAATGCCCACCAAACCCTTCCAGTATTTTTTGCTGGTCATGGGAGTTTTGTGTGCCAAGTTTGGTTCAATTCCATTGGTGGAGTTCAGAATGCTCTTTGATTGTAGGTTAACTATAAATCCCAGCAACTACAACTCAAATGAAAAAAATCAATCCCCGCCCTACAACACCAGTATTCAAATTCGGGCATATCGGGCATTTGAGCCAAATTTGGTCCAGTGAATGAAAATACATCCTGCATATCAGATATTTACATGACGATTCATAACAGTTACAAAATGACAATGTTAGCGTTATGGTTGGGGGTCACCACAACATGAGGAACTGTATTAAGGGGTCGCGGATATTAGGAAGGTTGAGAACCACTGTCCTAGAGATATCAGGGATCAAGCTGAGAATTTCTGCATGCAAAACATGTGTTTATAGATGAGTTCCAGAAAGAGTTGTTAGATTAATCCATTGTGTTATATGTCAACATGCACTTCTTTGGAAGTTCAAATGGAACATAATAATTGTTTTATTTCTAAGAAAACAAACAAATCCAGTTAAAAAGATTCCTCAATCTAAGTTGGTATGTTAATCATGTGACCTTGTGATGCTGAACTGCAACACACCGTTTTCTTGTGCTGGCTAGTAACTTGCAGACCAACCATTGATCTTTCAATGAACAGTGAGGAATGTTGTTGCAATCCAAACAGTTGAAGAGTGCCATAAATTCCACCTCGATCTAAAAACCAGTAGGCTGCTAAATTGAGAGAGACTGGAGTATGAAAGACAAATATTTGTAAAATTAGTAATCAAAAAGGTATATACCCAAGAATCAAAAAGGTTATTGATTTTATTGGCCAACCAACCATTTGCTACCACTAGGATTCCCTGTCTCCTATCTCTTCTGGAATCAAAGAGAGAAACATCTTCCTGTTCCTGACTACCACAGAGATGGAGTTAAGAAGAGGATTGTTTGTCCCTCCTGTCTGATTGAGTGCTTCAATCTTGGGAGGCTGAAGTTTGTTACAGCACTGCATTTGTGTGCAGCAAAAGTTAACCCAAGCTTGTGCAAAGTAGAAGTGATATGGTCCATTTCCTTCTCTTTGTCTGCAGGTTCTGATGAAGCCTGGGGATTATGTGGCTCACCCAAATCTGACCTCTTTCTCTGCTGTCATAAAAGGGGTGGAGAGCACAGCTCCTGATCTTTGTACATTCTGTTCATTTTTCTGCAGAATGAATAAGCTTAAAAGAGGAATCAATTGAGGAGCAAGACTGATCTTGTTCTTACGTGTAACAGAACACACATCTCGGTTGTTTTGAGATTCCACATATGAAAGTATCTGGAATACAATGTTCTTATGCTTATTGAAATATATTTCTGACAGATTTTTTTAGTACAATAGATATGAATTATGATCTGTGATATGAATTCAGGTGTTCTTACACAGAATACCTTTCAAACGCTTGAGTTGTTCCTAGAAAAAGAACATGTGAGTCATCTTTATTGCCTGTAACACTGCTGTGTTAAGATGAAATGTGCCCCCCCATAATTACAATAATCACATTTGGACATAATGTTAAAACATGGTTTCACACCATGTAAATGAACCAAATTGAACTTCATAGTTGAAAGGGGAATGCAGTCTCTTCTTTGAAGGCATCGTTGTTTCACCTGAATTAGGAACTGCAATTAATATTAACGGTTGTTAGTTTGAAACCAAACCTATGTTAAATATTGCGAGTTACTGTAATCCTTTGTACTCATCAGTTTTATGATGCACTGGTGCTCCGTGAACTGGAGCGTAAGATGGGTGTAAGCTCTTACAAATGTTTTACACAGTGCAGTGAGTGCCTTTGCAATAAGATACAGTATAATTAACATTCTAGAATCTTTCTTTTACTAACTAAAATTTGATCATGCTGTAGATATAGCTGTAGCTAAATAGAATTGATACAGCATGAAGTAACCAGGTTTTTCTCTGTTTGGAGTAGGAATAATAAAACCATTTCCTCCAAAGACTGAAGGAAAAACATAATGTAGCAAAAGCTGGTTCTTAGAGATGATGTTTTGTATTTTAAATACTTTTCCTTTTGACAGATTTTCTAACTTTTATACCGACAGAGCAAAGCATCTAATATTAGTGGAACCATGGGGATTTCCAGAAAGACCTTCTAGTGCTGAACATGAAAGGGCTATTCCAATCTGGATCAAAGCACTTGGAGCAGTTTTGAGTCCATTTAATCCATTGGCTGGTCTCAGGATAGCAGGACCGTTTGGTGAGTGCTTGCTAATATATAGTTTTGTGGCCTCATCACCTTGTTAATCAGTTCTGGAATTGTTATTGGTCATCCTTGTTTGCAAGTAGTAGTACACTAACCATAGGCTCACTAAAGAATGCATGGGATTCTGTGCAAGCATGTGAGCAGATTATGTATTCTTCCTCTGTGCCAACCTAGAACTGCTGCAGTCCTTTGTAGGAGAAATCAGAACTCTTCATCCTTTTTTTTTGCCACTCTTTATCAAGTTAATTACTTTTAAAGATTTGTTTATATGCCTGCATTAAGTGTCTTATTAGGTAGTTATAACAAATATTGCCTTTTCTTTTCCCCATACTCTTTTCTTCCTCTTCCAGACATAAGTTTTTGAAAAGCTTTCAGGGTAAAACAGCATGAATGATTAGAAGTTAAAATTGGCTTATTAGCCACTATACAACAGAAATGGTGTATTGTTATGAGATGTGAACTGTGTCTTATTCTATCCATGACAAGCAAAATATAAATTGTAGAGTCATGAGACATGGTATTTGAAATCTAATTTAATCAAAACTGTCTCTAAATATTTTATTTTGGAAATTATCCTTTTTCTTTTCCTGTTTGTTGTTTTTCATACCTCTGTCAACCAAAGAAAATTCATATAATTGCACATAATTGTAAAATCCCATGTCTTTTAAATGAGCATGAAACGTCTTGACTTTAGTGGATTTCAGAACTTCAACAATATCTACTTTGACAGTGGCAAAATAGATACTTAACTAGTTCTTGGTAGGTTAGAAAAAAGCTTCCTTCTGTTTTTTGTTTAAGAGGTTGTCAGGAGCTTTGGTTCGACATTTTGCACTTCAGCTTCTGGAATCTGTCATTATTGACTATACTGACAGAGGCTTTTGGGAACGGAACTTCTCCTAATAGTGGCTCACTGTAACCAGTCACATCTTTTATTTTGTCTGTTATCAAATGTTGTGAAGTGTGGGTGTAGAGTCATAATGTTGTAGAAAGAGACATCCAAGCTGGTGGGTGAAAATTTTCTCTGTCCATTTTTGGCAGCCTTGCTCATCACTTACTTACTTGAGCTTAAAATGCCCGATAATGCCTTATAGTATAAGGTACCTTGCTTCATCTCTGTGGACACTGAAATGAATTATATACTACCGTTACTGCATATTTTGAAAACTCTCATTTAGAGCACAATTGGGAATTTTATTTCTGTATTTTTTGTCATATGACAGGATTGAGTCTTGTACAGCGTATTAGGCCAGACTTCAAAAGAAAGTATTCTTCCATGTTTGATGATGATACAGTTACTGAATATATCTACCACTGTAATGTGCAGTCACCAAGGTAAGCTTAAGTAAGCAACATCCTTTAAACTGTAAACTAACAGTGAGCTGCTTTTCTGGGTATGGATTTTTATATAGCATGCATACATAGAAGGAAAGTGTGAGCTAAAACAATGAAGTTGGGAACCACTGCCATAGACCATGAGTGAGGAATGTGTGGATCTCTAGATGTTGTTGACCTGAAGTTGCCACCAGCCCTAAGAAGCTTATCAAATAGGGAATGTTTATGGAAGATACTATCGAGGAGCTTCTGGAGTGGCACATATTCCTCACCTCTGCTATAGAAGGAGGTGGTAAGCTAGGCATAAAGAACACAAAACAGCAGTCTCATACAATTTGGAAAGTCAATTGAAATCGGAGCTGTTGTGACAAGAATCCGTGGCCTTTGCAAATTGCTTTATCCAATTTGGTAATTGTCCTGCAATTTCCAGGCAAACTGCTGACTGCTGTAGTTTACTGATTCATAAACACCTTTGCAGAAGCATACGAGAAGCTCGGCCTCTCACTGAACATGGAGAAAACCAAACTGCTCTTCCATCAGTCACGAGCCAATCCCCCAGCAATGCCAGTCAATCTGTCTGCAATGCCAGAAATACAGCTTAATAGTGTAACATTAAAAAATGTTGACAATTTCTGCTACCTTGGCAGCCACCTCTCCACAAAAGTCAACATTGATACTGAAATACAGTCTCACCTGAACTCTGCAAGTGCAGCATTCTTCCAAATGAAGCAAGAGTGTTTGAGGACCAGGACATCCGTAGGGATACCAAGGTGCTTGTTTATAAAGCTATTGTCCTCCCAACCCTGTTATATGCCTGCGAAACGTGGACGTCACACTCAACTCCTGGAACGATTCCATCAGCATTGCTTCTGAAAAATCCTGAAAATCTCTTGGGAAGACAATGTCAGCGTGCTGAAAGAAGCAAAGATTACCAGCTTTGAACTGATGATCCTCCACCATCAACTCCACTGGACTAGCCACGTCATCCATATGTCCGATCACCGTCTCCCAAAACAGCTACTATACTCCCAACTCAAGAACAGGAAACGTAACATTGGTGAATGGGAAATGTAACGTTGGTGGACAGGAAAAGAGATTTAAAGATGGGCTTAAAGCCAATCTTAAAAACCGTGGCATAGATAGCGACAACTGGGAAGCCCTGTCCCTTAAGCGCTCTAACTGGAGGTCAGCTGTGACCAGCAGTGCTGTGGAATTCAAAGAGACACAAATGGAGGGTGAAAGGGAGAAACATGCCAAGAGAAAGACACATCAAGCCAACCCTGACTGGAACCGCCTTTCACTTGGAAACTGATGTCCTCACTGTGGGAGAATATGTGGATCAAGAATAGGACTCCACAACCACCTACGGACCCACCACCAAGACACTTCACTTTGGAGGACCATCATCCTTGAGCTAAGGAGGATCACTTAAGTAAGTGGTTCATAAAACACCAAATGGTTTGGACTCTTTACACATCAGCAGCAGCTTCATTTCATCAGCTTTGTCATAAAAATGCTGTCTTGACGGTGCCAGCTCTGAAAAGCAAAGGCACATAATAAAAATCTTTGGTGGGTGCTCCAATATGCAAAACTTCATTTAATACTTCATTTATGTAATGTAGGTCCTACCTTTCTTCTGACATGAGATGCAAGGTGCTTTCTTTAGCATGCTATCAAAATCTAAACAGTGCCTTTCAGACATAGCAAATTTTCTGTTTAATGGCCATTAACAGAGAGAAAAATGCACACGGGTCTTATAAAATCTTTGTCCTACCAAATGGATTGCACAATTAGTCTGATTCTCTAATGCAGCCCCATGTCCCAGTTTCAGTCCCTCTTGTATCGCAACGTCCTGAAAGACCATTGTGATCAAGCTGTACTTTGGAGATATACAGCAAATTGTTTGTATAAGTGAACTTCATTGAGCATTGTCACAACTAGTAGAATCATGTGTCTCACTAACTTCACTGTGCCTTTTACTTGGAATCAATTTTAATATTTTATCCTGAAATGAAAACTCGGTAATGCATATAATTACATATGGATCAAGATATCTGTCATTGTATTATGCATTGTTTTATCAGTGGCCTTCTTAATAATAATAAGAATAAGAATAAGAATAAGAATAAGAATAAGAATAAGACTTTATTTGTACCCCGCTACCATCTCCCGAGGGACTCGGTGCGGCTTACATGAGGCCGAGCCCACAATACAACAATAACAATAACAGCAATAATACAAAAACAATACAAAAAGTCATAGCAATAAGCAATTCTTCTTCATACATTTTCCCTGTTAGGTAGTTCTGTATGTAATTTAAAATGTATAAAGCCCAGAATGTATAAAGCCAGGAGTCCTGTGTGCACTAACCAAAATTTCTATTTTCATATATTTTAAGTGGCGAAACAGCTTTCAAGAACATGACAGTTCCATATGGATGGGCAAAAAGGCCAATGCTGCAGCGAATTGCCCATATGCACAAAGACATTCCTATCACTGTGATTTATGGAGCACGGTCGTGTATAGATGGCAATTCGGGGACCACGATCCAGTCTCTGCGACCGAATTCTTATGTCAAAACAATAGTAAGTGGGACATTCTAGCCATTTTGTGGATGGACGATATATAGTGCTTCCTTTCCCTATGTGTTTGAATGACAGCTTTAAGATTTCACGAAAATAAAGACAACATCTTCAAGAATGTGACTGATAGTGACAGTTGTATATTTCAGCTCTGACTCATATCTACAGAGTTATAAAAGCAGAGGTACCCCAAGGGCCATCTAGTGTAAACCGTTGTCACTACAAGAACCCATTGCTACAGCAGTTGCTGTCTAACTTCTATTTTTAAAAATCTAGTGAATCAATGCCTCCCTCCACCCCAGTCTGAACTGGCCTATTCCACTGTCAAAAGGGTATTATTCCCAGAAGATAATGATTAAATCTACCCATTATTACCTTTAAATATTTTCTGACACTGTACAATTGCTTCTGCATGTGTCTGGCATAAACATGAAAGGTAATACTTGTCAACACAGATTAAGATTTATTCAGAATTATATTTGTCCTTCCCAAAATACCATTCGAACAAAGAGTACTAGTAAATGCACCCCCCTTCTCCTGGCTTGAATGTGTGAATGAGATCAGCATGTATGCCTTAACTCTTAGAAATCTGTAACAATACACTGTCAGCAACATCAACTGAGTCCACTTTAAGGGCAGGAATGTTTAACCACTTGACTCAGGAAAGGATTTACAGCGATTATGGCATACAGAAATTTGTGCATGACTGTTGTGTGGCAGTGTAGACTTAGATGATAAAGGAGCGTGAAAAGCAACAGGTCATTTACTTCAGTCCGAATCCAAAAATGATCCTACCTAGAGAAGACCCATTAAAGTGAAAGGCATTTTTTGATCACAACTAATATAAGTTCTATTAATTTCAGTGAGCCTACTCAGTTGAGAGATATAACATTAGATTTAGCCTTTGAGTGAGGATCATGTGGTCCTTTAGATGTTGTGCTGTCAGTCAAAGCAGTCTTAGCCAGTGTAGCCATTGATGAGGAATATTGCTAATTGCAGTCCAACGGCATCTATGATTCTTGCTCCAACTAAGTCCATGGCATCATGAAAGCATTACAACTGTACCATACTTGCACTGGTATTATAAGTCTGAACTAAATTGTATTTGATAGCACATTTTATCATAGAACTGCAAACAAAAATAACATTTCAGGACTGTTTTGTTTACCAACTGTTCTGTGTTATCCTATATAATTTACATCAGTTTGCATATCTTTGTAATGGTTGCCTTAAGTTTTTGTTGGGCCTCTTCCAGGAGAATGAATATGGGGACTGGGCTTTTTCAAATCCATTTTAGTCACTTCATTGCTTATGTAAAAGAACATAGTTTTCTTGTAAATCTTAAATGGATGTTTTGTTTTTTCTCCCCTTCCCTTGCACAGGCTATCCTTGGTGCAGGTCATTATGTTTATGCTGATCAGCCAGAGGACTTCAACCAGAAAGTAAAAGAGATATGCAATTCCATGGACTAATAGGATTTTGTTATTGTGAATGAGAGCCACAATTACAATTCAAATCAACACTTTGGTAGTATAATATGAATGTTAAAATTTACTGATTTTTTAAAAATAGATTTTATTTCCACCATTTCTTTCAAATGTTTGCACACTTTAAACCATGCAGTGCCTTTTGCGGGAATTAGGGAGATGTTAAAAAAAATTGTACATTTTAGTTTGATGCTGTCCTTTATATATTTAGATAAAAGATTTGTAACTATGTATGCTCAACACTACATTTTAAAACTGGATTCTTAACCATTGATTCTGAAAAATGTAGAGCATTAAAATTCCTTTAATATATATTCTTACAAAATTGTGAATGAAATTTCAGTTTGCTTTCTTCTGCTTCTATATATTGCAATCTCTTTGATCTCTTTTAAAAATTTAAAAATACTTTACATTTGTTTTTCTTTTATGTCAGACTATCTTTACATTTTGTTGTACCTTATGAAGTGGTCCTTGCCAAAATAATCAACATTGGTAAACAGCCAGAAAAAGCAAACGTAACAAGAGTTAAAAAAAGACGGAGTAATGCTGATTTTTTTTTTTTTTGCCCCCTGAATTGGAATGTTGGTTGTTCATTCCAGTAACTATTGTTGTATGTTCAATTTCCTTAGGGATTTAATTCTGTAAGATGTTAACGTTTTAAAGACATATACAAGTCCTGTGGATTTGAAGACTAAATACCTTCAGAGTTGTATAACCTATTCATTTGGTGACAAAGTTATTGCAAGATCTATTGCAAACTCTAATTTTTGCATGTTGTTAATCCATATTTAATACTGGGACAACATAGTCTCTGTGATATTTGTAATGCTTGGATGAATATTTGTTTGGGTTTTTTTAAAAAAAACACTGGAAGAAAAGCTTACACTGTCAAATCCCAGGTTTTCTCAAAGAAGGCATCTTAGATTGAGTAATAATCAAAAAATAAATCAAGAAACCTAAGATGTTGTTGATATAAAATGTGTGATTTTATGCTTTTTTGTTGAAAAAAATAAGAGTTTTTTAGGCTTTTGTTTTTAAGAGAAGTGAATTTGTTATCAACCTAAAGGTAAACTGAGTGGTTTATAAACAAAATAATTTATTGGTTATATATAGTAACTTACTGGTCAGCCTTTGAACGCTGAATATAACTACTGAATCTTTGCTATTTCTTACTAATTATTGAAGATGAGTTATTTTGCTATCTCTTGAAAATGCAGTCTCAGGCAGCATTTCAAAAATGGGAAGTGTTCCCTCTGCAAGTGAGATATACTATTTTGGTGCTGTTGTAATTTGAACAGTCACTGTAACAATAGTGTAAAATGTATGCTAAATATTGGCAATATTGTGCAGTTCAGCACTGCATAGTAAAGAACTATGTTTGGAATTAAAATGCAGAACTGTGTATTTCTTTAGTATGTGAATCTGTTAAGGAATTGCATAGTTAGAGAGAACATTCTCATTCTCTTACAAAAAAATAGTTTCACAATCATCAGTTTGGGTTTGTCAGCAGTTCAAAATTTGTATAACATACAAAAGGCTGAGTAGCACAAATTCCTCTTCAGTACATTCTTGAGGCACAATCAATTATTGTTTTTGGCTGCCACAATGTTGTGAGTCCCACATTGATATATTAAAGAGAAACAGCACGAGTAGAGGTGGACAACATGTAATCCTCTAGATAAGGACTTTCCAAACTCTGTGTTGCAACACATTAATGTGTCAGCTGCAGTGTGTAAATTTCTGGGTATGTGAAATGAGCAATAAATAATATATTGTAAATTTATATAAGTGAAAGGTTTTCATGAGATATGTTGTATCCCCATACATTTTGATATTACAATTTATGGATGTGTCCCTATGTCTTACAACAGGTTGGTTTAACCTCTGGTTTGTTAGTAAAACTGAATCACTGGGCCGCAAAATAATGTATGTCTACAAAGGATGTCATCAATTGGAAATGTTTGGAAAGCTCTTCTCTAGATATTGTTGGACTATAACTCCCATTTGTTCAAGCTGGCATAGCTAATAACGAGGGATAATGTGAGGTGTAGGTTCACAACATCTGAACAGCTACAAGATATTCATCCTGAACTACCAATGCCAGATGTAAACAAGTTTTCGTTTTACTCTTCTGAGTAAATTTTCTGGTGAATAGCTGCTGCTTATATGTTTTGTACAGTTAAAAAATGTCTTATATAATTGGTGGGGCTAATGAGTAATCACATATAAGTGCTTTGGTTTCTGGTTTGCATGGACTTCATGAATAGCAAAGAACTGAATGAGGCTTATCTACCACATTAGCATTTCCGGGGTCTTTCAATGACTTTTACAAAGATACTTTCTGGGAACATAGTTATTTGTTTTTGATTCCTGACTAGAAGTAAAATGAGAGATCTGTGATCAGTATTTTATGTTTCCAGAAGTTTAAAGTTAACAATCTGCAGTGGGGTGAGTGGGTGGAGAACTAGATTATGAACACAATTCTGGAAAGAGGTGTCTAACTTCTCCCCTAACATGTGGTGTTCTATTAATCTAAATGCCCATCTTGAAACACAGTTTGCCCTACACACACATATAAATGTACCTCTTCATTTTCCCTGCAAGAAACAAAAGAACCCATGAGGTGGGGAAGAGGGATATAGATTGGTGAAAGACATGAAAATGGAGAAGATTAAATGTTCTTTCTAGTTCAACCCCTTTAATCCAATTTAGATTCCCTGTGGCTGCTTCAGACAAAAATATGTATATAGGAAATGACAATCATTGTTCTTTTGCTTAACATTCAGCCCCCACCTCCCTTGGTACTCTTTATTACCTTCTGCCGCTTTCTATGCTGCATTCCAGCAAGGTGATTTACAAGTAAATATTAAAAATCTGCTCTATGTGAAAAAATACAAGCTGCCAACTCAGTGACAAGTTATACTGACAAATCCCTCAACCATTGAACTTTATCGTGTGCTAAAATAGTGTCATATTCCAAATCTTTGCTGTGATCAAACTGATTTGAATCACGTTGTCTATGAGCCACCTCTTTAAGAGATTGCCTACATTGAATATTAACTGATTATGACACAACCAAGCTAAGCATAATCAATTTCAAAGCTTTACAGTTTTAAAGCTTTAACAGGGCATGAGAAATGGGAGGTTTGTTGAGCTGCTGATTGAGCAACATGGTTGATGAGTCAAGTAGGCACAAATAATACTATGAAACTGGCGTCACCTACAGTGAACTGGCATGCCAACTCATTTCTCAAATTCTTGGCATGTGTATTCCAATTACCATAGGTCGGTTGTTTATCAAATAGTTGGCATGTCAGTCTAGTATGAATGACTCAGTTTTAAAAGCGTACCTCGAAGTATTGTCATAGTGATATAAGTATTCACAATAAATATTTACCAATTTAAACTAATCTTCCTGAAAACTGTATTGTTGGAGGCTTTCACGGCCAGAATCACTGGAGTATTGTTTGGTTTCTGGGCTGTATGGCCATGTTCTAGCAGCATTTTCTCCTGACATTTCATCTGCATTTGTGGCTGGAATCTTCAGATCATAAAAACTGTTTGTTCTTTATATATCAGAAAAATACACTTCCTTGGGGCCCGATGGTGCAAACTCAGTTCCCTAAGATCATTGCTCAGGCTTTTAATATCAAGAAATTGACAACCTGCTTATATTACATGAGCTGGGCTGATGGGTCGCAAGTTGTACAAAGCCTGTCAAAGGGGAAATTTATTGCATCATAACATGTTTATAAGAACAGTCACAAAATTGTGATCTTGCTCACCTCAGCATGGCCTTTCTTTATAAATAATTAAAGATCAAAGCTAAGATTCTGATGCTATAAATTGTGAATGATATAAACTATAGTTAGCTATATAATTGGGCTGGCCTCCAGTAAGCAACATAAAATTACCCCAGCATATGTAATTTTATTGGTTGTGGGTGGACAAATTCAGCATTTCCATTAACTAAAATTTCCACAATTCACATTCCTGTTTCTCAGTTGTGCCCCCCACCCAGCCGGGAGAAGATTGGATGATGCCATCCTTTAGGATCTGAAGAGATCAAGAATAATGCTTCTTTGTTCTTGTGGGCATCTACAGGAACAGAGCCAGCTGATTGTCTTTCTATTCCCTGTCCTTGCCACCGAATCCCAGGGTAGCAGTTAACCAGGTGCACACAGATAGTTCAAGCATGCAGGGAGGAAGGACAACATACACCAATGGTGGGCAGAACTTTAGAATCCACAACTGATATGCCTTTGTTTTGTTGTTCCTGTCCTTTGTGATTTTACTGCACTTTTTGGTGGTGTAAATGTTTGTTTTTTACTCAATGCTCTTTTGCCAGCCAACAGAGTGGTGGTGATATACCACTGGTTAGTGTTACAATAGTACCTGCAATAAATTCTAGCCTGCACTGTGCCATGAATCCCACTGGCTAGTCACTCTTTTTCCAGCCTGATAGGTTTATCATGAATAGGAAAGAAGATAGCCTGTAAGATATACAATTTCTCCCCAGAACCCATGGGATCGGTACATCACATGTCAGCATCTGACAATGTAGGCCCTTCCTAGGAATTTCTGAGGTTCACCAAATGGGTTTATGATATGTTTCAGCCAGAGATGACTATAGAGTTGCTAGCTAATTCATTTCAATAGGTTTTGCTATTACCTATGGTCTCCTGTTTCCATTTTAAGTTCAGGAATGTGTACCCAGATACCGTGCTGTACTGATCTCATTAGATAAAATGTGGAATCTAAATGTAAAAGAAAGGCAAGCAATATCCAATGATTGATGCATGGTGAGAAATGTAAATGCCAGCTAGGTTTTGCAAACAGGAGCTATGGCCTAGGGTAGGGGTCCTCAGACTTTTTAAACAGAGGGCCAGGTCACAGTCCTTCAAACTGTTGGAGGACCGGATTATAATTTGAAAAAAAAATGAATTCCTATGCACACAACACATATCTTATTTGTAGTGCAAAAAAAAAACCCACTTTAATTAAAATGAAGAACAATTTTAACAAATATAAACTTATGGGTATTTCAATGGGAAGTGTGGACCTGCTTTTGGCTGATGAGATAGGATTGTTGTTGTTGTGTGCTTTCAAGTCATTTCAGGCTTAGGTTGACCCTGAGTGAGGGCCGGGTAAATGACCTTGAAGGGCCGTATCCAGCCCCCAAGCCTTAATTTGAAGACCTCTGGCCTAGGGCAACCGTGGGCAAACTTCAGCCCTCCAGGTGTTTTATTTTTACAGGAAATTGTGCATTTTGTGCAAAAAATCCAACCCTCATGTCTTTGTACAAAATAAATTTTCACAAGTGTCTCAATATATGGGGGAAAAACCCAGTGAAAATGCACAAAAGGTCTTGTTATAGCCATAAAAGGGAATAAAACTTTTGAATCGAGTATTGAATGCTAGGATTGAATAAGAAAAAATATATTTGTGATGCCCTTTGATGTAGTTGTACCCCAACAAGATGTTTCTACAGTGCTACACTATAGGATGGCGTCCCAAAACAGCAGCATTCCATGATAGCTTTCCCAAAAATAGGAAAAGAGAGGATTATCAAGAGGAGAAAATCTGATTGTGATGCATCAACTTTTGTAGATACATAAGCTTTAACTGAACACAGTTTCTTTCCTGTGCCACACTGATTCATCAGATTTTGATTCTGGTTTGGTAAAGAGAAGGTTTTCTCCTGTTTCTGTCACAGGAAACTGTTCGATGTTAAGCTGTTTCCTTCTGCGTCTCAGGGGATGTATCATTTTTCAAAGGACTGTATGAATACTAATCTCCTTTGCTTCCCCAGAGCAGCTCTGCATTTCCTCTTCGCTTTGTCTGCTAAAGCTGCGAACAAGAAATGACAGGGGAAGTTAATTCTTCCGCCACTTCTGGGTGAATCTGACAAAACTGTGTGTCTTCTTTGAGAGGCAGCCACTGAGGATACAAAAAAGAACACCTGGAGTTTATTACTGGAGAGTCAGAGAAGCAACCATTTCAGGAGTCAAGACACGGGGCTCCTTTGCAGACATAGAAATATTGGCACTCAGTGTATTATATGAAGGTTCCAGCTGCATTTAAATCAACATTTTAACAAAACAAAACAAAAACAAGAGGAATATTTGTCACTAAAAAGTGGAGCTGTACACATGAACCATTCTATAATTTATGTAAGGACCAGCTGCTTGTCGGCTTGTTTGCTCCAGCAGAAATACTATTGTTTTTAATTTTTTTCCTTCTGAAATAAATTCATGATTACAGATGTGACTTCCTTTCTCTGAAAAATATTGACTGTTTACCCCGTAACATTACACAGTATAGAGTTTAAAATTATTTTAGTGAGAGAACATTATCCATTCTGGTAGTTCAAGGTTTTTCAGTTTTACC